CATCTAATATTCAGCATAAAAGCATTTTCGAGGGGGTTTTAAGGACGACGCATCTGTATCGGATAGCGCTTCTTGCCGACCGTGACGAAATTGTTCAACATGTTATTGAAGACAGAGGACTAGTACGTTGTTGTGACCGCTCTGACCCCGCACCTCTCTGTTCGCGTTCTCTCGTTCAGGCGGTCACTCAACGGATATTAGACATTGAGAGCATCCCCGAGCAGAATCCAAAGTCCCGTCACATCTACCGACATCGAAGCTCATCTCGCCTGCCTCATCGCTACAGATCAACATCAGTTAAACTCGACTTACCCTCAACGATACGAACTTTTCTCCATCCAACTACAATAAAGAACGAAGCTGATATCCAATAAGCTTTTCCACTCTACGAGATAAATTTTATTCCGTCCAGGGAAGCGATAGAGTTAGAGGAAGCCAACAACTCTAAAATTTCTACAGATCGGTGAAAATTCGAGCTGTGGTCGGACAAGAGATCTCTGACAGTGCTCATTTTCGTTACCCCACAAAAAACCTCCTCAGTACTTCTAGTCGACTCGTGGCTCTTGCGCGCAGCGACGCTGTAGCCCCAATAGACGATTCCGACTACTACCGCGATTGCCTCGAACGTTGCCACCCAGTCAGTTTCTTTAAACTAGCTTCGACTTGCCCATTTATCTCCGCCGATCCACCTCCTCCCCGTCTCTAAATTCCCTCCTTAATACAGAACTTAAGTGACTTCGAAGAATGTTCTTCTTAGCTGGCATGATGCTGGTAAATTATAAGTCTGTCTCCCTGTATTTCACCTTCAAGAGCAGAATAGCGGAATACGATTTTCGCGATAGAAAAATTAGCCCATTATGACTTGAGGGTCTAACCTCACGGTTTAACCTCGCTTCTGCTCCCTTTATTACGAGAATTTCCCCTGCGTCAGTAATTTGGTAAAGTTTTTGTCTTTGCGTCCCCCGCCAGCCGCGGGATCTTTCTGTTCTGCCTCCGTCATTTACGTTTCGTACCTCAACAAAGCACGATCTGGCATCTGGCATCTTTAGAAGAACAGGGCCTCCTTTGCCGGGCCTTCTGGAACCACATGACACTGACGAAACCACCAACAACGGATAGCTTCATGTCCGCCCATGGCGACACTCCTTAACAAGCGCTTCGCTGACTCACCACGCTAAGCTAACCTTAGCTAGAGGTTAGTGACAGCGTAAGGATAGGCAGTACAACTTCGTCCTGCTCTCCTGTTCCCGAAGCTCCTAGCGGCATGCAAACTATAGCTAAAACCTTTATAGCTGCTAGCGGGCCTAGCTGCAATAGCACATAACAGAACTTAGGGCGGGAACATAGAAGCGAGCAACGCACCCACTAACAGCTAATGTTAAATAGCGTTGTTACTTAGATGCCCTAAGTTGAGGGCTTCGCGTTTATAGTTGTGAGGGAGCCGGGGAGCAACGTAATTGCCGGCGTTGGATTCATTAGTGCGTTGACTGTCGCTGTGTGCGTCTTTGCCGTTTCAGGCGGCGCGTTAGCCCTCGTCGAGGGCAGACACTTAGGATAGAGAGCCGCCGAGCTGTCGCTCCTACCACCAGAGAGCATACTGCACAACGCGGCTGACATAATGAGATGCAGCTGCTGCAAGGAGGATGAAGTTCCAAGCCCATCGCAAGGATGAGCCCTGTAGGGATAGGGTTAGTGGTAGGGGTCTTTTAAGGAGGCAACACAAATCCGGCTATCTTTGAAGCTGTCAAAACTGTCGACGCATATGCAAAACTCATTAACGACCAACTCACGGTATATCATGCGCCGCGTCTCACCATAATAGACCGGAGACGACCGAGCTGACTCATTCGAAAATAATGACCATACTGAAACATTTAATATGCATCTTTTCGCTATCATTCTGGTTACCAATGGCTATGATGCGTGATTAAATACTGGCGTTGATGTTGTGATGAAGAACCTAAGCAAAAAACACTATTTTCCTCAATTACTCCTAAAGGCGCTTACCGTCCTATACTATGTGTGAAATCAAACATTATGAAGCGCCATAAAATCGAATGGGCCGATTTGGGCTTATTGTTCTGGTGCTGCATTGCTGCAAAGTGATTTTACCCTAAACCTCTATAAATGGTGCCAGAGCAATGGCTCCTGGAAAAGAGGTTTCTGTCAACAATTATAAATTGTGTAGCGGGACAATATATATAGTGTTTGCGTTACAGAATAGCCAGCAGGAAATCCGTTGCTTTTCGAAGCGTTCTCTTCTAAGTTAGTGGTGCCTTCACCCTTTGTTCGATCGAGCCTTTATTTCTGGTTCGGAATATTTAAGAAAAAGTAGAAAGTACTACTGTTTCCCTTTGGTTTTCTGAAGCCAGTTACCTACGGCGCATAGATTTCTTCACTTTATTGCGCTATTCATAACAAGATGTTGTTCTCTTATCACTCAAAATATGACTCAAACGATATTAAATATGTCGTTGAAACACGAAGCATAAATGTCTAACCTCTACATCTGCAGCGAGCGCTGCATTTTGGATCGTAGCAAAGTTTCCACTTATTTTCGATAAATATACCCATACAAACATACATATAAACTTCTCATAAAAAAATTAACAGGACAGAGATTTTCGCGCTAGAGATAACCTAGAGTCATTCACAACAGGGAAGACATGTCTTGTTGCAATAGAAAAAACAACGTGGACAAATTTATAAGGGGTATGCTTATTTACTGTAGTTAGAATTTCTATACTATAGGAGCCCACCCTACATAAAAACATTCACATAGCGATCTTCGATGAAGTGAGAGAGGGTAACTTTAGGGAACCCCCGGAAGCCATCTTGCTTAGAAATGAAAAAAGCCCATTGTAATACAAAACTATCTCAATGTGTACACTATATGCAAAATGTTCGCACTTGGTCTGGCCGATCACAGAAATACTCTGCCACAGTTTGACGAACATTCCCGTCTCATGTAAATTCTATTCCATTCAAATCGGGGCTGCAGTCATTGATCGACATATTTACGCGTATATCGAGTTGAAGCTTCCGAAGAATCGCACGCACCTCTGAGCGTTTGTTGTTGAAGTCCCTTCGACATCAAGCATTAACTCTTATACTACCAAGAACGATCATCTAAATGGCTGATCTGTCTACACGACCCAGTGCGAGCTCTCTGCCTACCGCTGGCTCGAAGGAAACCTAACAAAGAGCGTGCATGACAACTCAAAAGATTCGGGTTTGACCTTTTTTGTTAAGTAGCGCATGTTGTCAAATAACAGAAAAGAGATAATGGAAAGTAGTATAATTTGCCGCATTTAATACAGAAATGAGCTGTGTGTCAATCCACCGTCCAAGTCCTGGTTTGGATGTTGTTACTTAGCCTACGGGGCCTACGTGGTGCCTGAAATAATTCCAGCAGCGATACATATAAATTGCATAATGTATTAGTCCCTTCTTACCTGTCAGGCGTCTTTTTCTGCGCTAGGCGCAAAGCGTTTGTTTGAAGATAGTTTGATGGAACAACAATAACGATGCACTAAAACGGTTTGGCGGGCCGATCTACTTAACAAGATTTGAATGATACTGTTGCCGATAGGCCAATCCTGATGATATTGTGGCACATACTTGATTTTAAATTGATTTACTATGTTTTGAAACATTGCATGTAATGCTGTTGGACACCTGATTACAGTTCGGCCCCTATTGCTGGATGACTGGGTAAACATGTGATCGTTTAAACTTTTTTTTAAACATTTAAACCTTACAAGATCAGTACGAACTTTATATATGCATCTATGTCGTGCGACAAATGTATCTGCTCAGACTTTTACGCATTAGTTCTTAGTCCTTTTTCAGGCCTGGCTGTTAGCCAGGACGCGTATCAGTGACTGATGGTACTGAACAGTTTCGTATACAGTTCTGTCTTTTAAAGGCAATCTGTCGCATGAAGCCCAGTTATGTCTTTGAGCATATTTGATGTCGTTGGCGTGTGTTCGAAGGCTCTTGTCTTAAGAGTTCTATAGACAGGTTCCTCTAAAGGTAAAGGACCAGGCAACATCTGTTACGGCCAGTTTGACCTACTTCTTAATCTAATGGGTGAGCAATGAAACCGAAATTTAATAAATCTTCATTAAACCCATTTGTGCGGTAATGTATCCGCGTGCTAGTACTATATTAAAAATTACAGCTGCTACATTGACATGTTTGGCTTTACTCAGAGTTCGGTCATATTTCGATTGTATGGTACAGTAAGTAATATTCGTGCTTTCTTATTTCCAGATTTTCTCGTTGTTAAAAAAGTTCTTCTGTTGCTCTACGAGACTCTGTGATTATTATCTTCCCTAAATCTCTAAGCTCGACCCTCACTTCGGGCTTCGAAGAGTGATTAGAAATAGAGAGAGCTTCCCAATTGTCTATAGTATTTGCCCACAAACAAATAGGAGATCGAAAAAGGATACCATCAAACATTGAGGTTACTTGCGCGTCAGCCGAAGTATAACTCAAGCTTGGTGGAGAGTCCTGCCTTGTAAAATAAGTACTCTTCAGTAACTAATGATTTGGCTTTCGCATTCTAAAATCTGAAGTGAAATAAAAAAAAAGACGTACGTCAAACTCGATCAGTTCAGGCGTCACTATCATTGTCTTCATTTACTTCATCATTTTAGGCCACACAATAGATCCGTTATGACCAGGCTAACTATTTTTTTCAACGAAAAGTTTCCTTATCACAATCAGTGATGATACTTACTTGCGGCCTATGAATTGAGCCCGTTCATGTTGATCAAAGCAACCTCACTCTCGAATTCGCTTATGGCCGTAGTATTTATAGATATATTTTAATAGTATTTTGAAAATTGATTCCTCGCCTGATAAATAGTCGAGCACCTACGCTCACGACTCGTTCGCTATTTAAACCCCTAGCTACCTATCCAACCGTGACAATAATGAAGCTATGTTTACGTTTGAAATTACGCACGTATTTGTAGTTCTTTTTTATTGACCTCTTTCTTTTCTCTCTCTTCTTTACCCCGCTTTAATTTGCTTTCGTTTTCTCTATGCAATCTCTCATTACCCAGAGTATTTACATGACAGTCAGTGATATGATCAATGCTCGTCGATAACGTTCGTGCCATTATTACAGGCAGAATGTCGTTCTTTTGATCACTCATTAGATAATGAAGTGTTTTCACCATTGGCTTTGATCGTTAAATTGCAATAGCTTTTCTTATCGTTTTTTTGCTAATCTATTTATGAATTTCATATACAAACTGTACACACGATGCTGGGAGGGCCTTCGACTTTAGTCCAAATCGAATCCAGCATCGATCAACACATTATTTTATAAAAGCTAACATCAGCAGATTCAACAGATAAAACTCTCTTCTATTTAATTTTTCTTTCACCGCGAGCTCTTTATCTGTTTATCGAACCGCGGGTGAAAGCTGACTAGTTTCGAGTAATAGCTTTAATAATGATTATAGTTTCCATTACGTCATCACGTATTTTTCCTGCTTTAAGTTACGTTACGCATCTGAAAGTAGCTCGGCTGTAACCGTCACCAACTCGCATTCAAACTTCAGACGTCTTTGCTCGTCCGACACCGAACGGCTATTACATTACTAATTTTCTAATGTAGCTTAGTTTTACTGATTTTCCGAATGCTGTGGTTCCGTCTTGAGCCAGGGCGCTGACGCAAAATCGCTCCCGTTCGGTGTCAGCGGCTGTGACGTTGGACTTGTGAGGGTCGCGTGAGAGTAGTCCTTTTCGTCGTCAGACTCAAGGCCAAGCCGATGCCCATTTACTGAGGATTCATCGTCATCGTGAACAATGTCGAGTTCTGGCTCGTCGATCTCGTCGCCGGTCGAGTTCTTCCTCAGAGTGGCTTGTCGCTGCTGCTGCTGCTGTTCAAGATGGGTCTTGCGCCACTTAATACGACGGTTTTGAAACCACACTTTGACTTGAGCCTCGCTCAGGTTCAGGGAGGCAGCTAGGTAGAGGCGTTCGGGTCCAACCATATACTGTTGCCGCTCAAATTCAGCCTCTAACCGTTCCAGTTGTTCGGGTGTGAAGATCGTTCGAATTCGTTTGGCCTTCGAGCCTGAACAGGACGACGAATCGCACGCCTTGCGCTTCAGCGATGCCAGGCCAGTTTGGGGAGCCGACAGCGGCATAGAGACCAACGAATTGCACTCGGAAGGGGAAGATAGCACCCGGCTGGACAGATCTGTGAACAGGGGAAGAACAAGATGGATCGCGTTAATAGCTTGTCGTGTAGTTGTAACTACGTCCTTCGTCCTATACTGTGCAGCGCGTACAAGTAAACAAGCACTCGACGATGCTACATGGTCACCTAACGAATAGGCGCAGAAAAAAGTAGATCGGAATGCAATTGCGATTTCGTCTTTAGAAGAAGCTAAGTAAATGAAATGCAGACTGAAGGGAAAGCAAGATGGACGAGCTTCGATCTGATGCTAGATTAATGGCACTAGTATTAAGGAAACCCTGAACAGGCAAGAGTTGAGCAACGCACAAGAGGCAAAAGATTGTGAATCTAACGCTTACCTTTAACTGACGAGGCTGGCGAAATCGGTGAGGCAGGTCTGCAGGATCGGAATACGTCGTCGCCTGAGTCTCCCTTCGATTCCTTCAGGCCGAGAATGGCCTCAATGGTAAACGAACTCTTTTTTTGGGACACGGACGGTGAAACGAGTCGCGGTGAAGGAATTCCGCCCGATGAACAGGACGGTGACGAAGGCGGGTAAAAGAATACGCCGCCATCCCTGGAGAATGGTGACCGCGGTGTGAGGGGCTCAAGGCCGGCAACCGATTGCAAACCGAAGGGGAATGCACTGGCGGCTACGGCCGCATTTACAAGATTCGGATGGAACATTGTTACCGAGCTGGGGTGCACCTCTGCAGGTACACGTGAGACTGGTTGTCTATCCTTCAACTAAGGCGTGTGACGTGGACCGCGGCGGCTTAGCTACGCCGGCGATAGCACGTCTTTTCGTTATTGAGAGGTTGCTACAACGAACAGCTGGACAGCCGTTTATCAAACAACGAGACAGAACAACACGAAATACTGTAGTAGTCCAATGCGGCGGGAGCAAGCTGTTGATACGGTATTATGTTCTATTTTTGGTCATTTAGGACGCACGAAACTGGCTGCGATAATTTGCGACACGTTACACTTTGTTTCAGACACGAAACGAACACTAGATCAGTCTGAGCACCCAGATGATCAGAGGGGTATAGCAAGTGACTGGCAGACGTTCGAACCGGATTGTTCTGACCTGTTCGGCTGTTCAGTCAGCCTTTTCTATTCAGCCCGCCCTCTCCCAAGCTCCACCCTCCGCTCGATCAGCCGATGAAAAGAGGACTCTTACCGTTTTGATTCGCGAACCGAGTAAGAGAGAGGGGGATACTGGGGTGTGTCTGTCTGCCCGAGGTTGGCTGGGTAGAATGGGAACGGACTGAGCAGGGGTGGCTTTTAGTGGGTACCGCTGCCCCGCGCCAGTTAGCCCAGCCGCTAGATCCAACCAGTCAGCCGCGGTGGCTCGATCGAGGAGGAAGTGCGCAGCGCAAATGCAAAGGCAGAAGCGCTGAAGGCAAAAGAACGCACGGACAGGAAGTGGAGAAAAGAGCCGTATCAGGCATGCCACAGACCTGTAGTGGCAGGGTAATTGGAATATCTTTATAGAGCGGACAAAGCGCAGGCTGGATAGCCATGTAGATAGCTGCGATGAATTGGCGTCGGCGACATTAACCGACAACGACATACTCAACAATGCTAACGATAGTCTATGGGCTACATTCTATCCGTCTCGAACTCAAGAAACCATAATATAGCCATGAACGAACAGGGTTTGGGGCAAAAACTTTGGGGACACAGAGAATTGATATTCTGTCCCTCTATATCCTAACATCGTGACGTAGCCCTCGCAAGCCTGCTGCCGAGGGTCTGCGAATGGGATTATCGTCGTTGGCGATCTACTGTAGCAGCAATAACAGCACTACGGCTGAGTATGGCTTGTGCGCTTCTTTGCAAAATGTGAACGAAAAAACCAAATAAGAGGACCCCGTTGAGGCAGATCAGCTACTGCACGCTTGCTTGTTCGTTGGCTAGCTCTCTCTTTCTCCGTCGATTCGATAGCAGCACACGCGGTACTTTTGGGGCTGTTGAATGGGCCCTGGGCCATCCAATCTTGTTCGGGTGTCTAATTCCTCTCAAACAGGGCTTTTTGGTTGAGTAACGCTACCATGGTGCGTCTACGTCGGTGCACGCCTATCGATGGTCGTTTTGAGATGTAGGACCATCGAGTTGCTTCGCCTAGCTCCCGAGCACCTTTAGCCAGCTCTTAAATTGGCGATAAAAAAAATTGCGACGGAGGTCAGCAGAACTCTTTTCGACTTACAATGGACTGCTAATTGGGATAATCTGCTGAATAAGCGCAAACGACCATGACGCCAAAAAGAGAATAATGGAGGCAAGCGAAAAGGAACTCAGGTCCAGAACAAAAATAATTACGTAAATGGGAAGGGCCATCTGCGACGAGGAAATGAACGTAAAATAAGAAGTGCACGATACGGAAAGATCTTGCCTAAGCCGGTAAAACTTATTTGTACAATCATGCACGCCGATATGGGTGACAGAATGCGAGATAAAAGGGATGAAATTATGCCGAGCAGAATGAACGTAATCTTTGAGGAATATTGCTACCTGAAAGATATGTTCGAAGCATAGAATAACTGCAGTCACATCCACCAGTCATTAAACAGAGTGCAATACCAAGAGAAGTATTATAATAAATGTAGTTAACGCCTTCCATGAAATAAAAGGAAGTACGAGGCAGCGTTACCAACGTGCTCAACACACAGTAACTCCTAATCAATTCTTGAGAAAAGAAGAAAAATATTTTTTTTCTTACAAACAAATGTCAGTGTGATCACGTCTAAATTCTAAAAACTGCTCCTTGCGAGAGCAGATATTACCGGATAGTAATTCAGCAGGATTGGTTTCACCCATACAACTGATATCTACGTATAGTCCTCAGTTTCCACGGGAAATAAGTGGAACCAAAGACACTTTGTTTTCCCTCAAAAACTTTCCAGTAAATGTTAGACAGGTAAAAACGTCTCCCTATACATAATATACTTTGTAAAACGAAATACACAATATAAAACATAATTTGGGTAATAATAATAAATTAACTGAAACATGATTGTGTATCATTGGCATCGAACCCGAACGTCGTGCTCGAAAGAAGTATGGCACTTATTGTAGGGTAATTTAGGTTATGATTATAGCTATTGGTTCGATGCGCTATCAAAGCAAATAATCAGCGACCTTATCAGGAGGTACCCCCAATTTGAAGTTGTCAATTTTAGTCACTCAGTTTCCATGGCATTGATTGACGCTCGTTAGCGCTTGGAGCAAGCATAAACAGTTACTGTTGCATCCAACCTGAAGCGGCTGTTTTTGAGCTAAATCAAAGCGCTATTATATTCAGCGCCACATTAAACCAGCTCATACGGCATCGAACCTCGAGGGAAACAACCTTCTCAAGCTCTAGTTCTTCTCTACCTTTTGATATGCTGCATAACAATTCCAGCCGAAAGAGCAAACGATCCTTTTCTAATCGGTCCACAAACTGTCATCATCGTTCGTTATGTGCTGCCTGTCAAATGGCTTAATCCCGTGACGAGCGAGATGATGACGTGCCGGGGGGTAAGAGGGCTCTTGAGTGGTGGGATTATTATTTAGAAGCCGAATAACTGCTACTGGGTCTACTTCTAGCTTATAGAGCTACCTAATGCAAAATGTTCACGTTCGATAGTCGACGATCGATTGTTGGGCCTTGTCTGTACAAAGCTGCTGGCGCTGTGGTTGTATAAACAAATTAAGTTTCCTTTTCTCTCTCTCTCTCTCGATATATATATATATATATATATAGGCTTGATGTTTGAGGAACACCGAAGCGGTAAGGAAAGGAAGACTCGTATTCCGATGTAGACTGGTCGAAGCGACGCAAGGAACCCACTCGAGAGAAAAAGAAATTCGAAGCATTTTACTATTTCTGCTGATTTCCTCCTCGGCCAACTATATAGGTTCAATGTGGGTAAAAATCAGTTCTAAATTGAGAACGGACTCTACGATGCTCCGTGCACCAATTTTTAGTAAATTGAAAAGAACCTTTTTATTGTTTTCTACCTTTCATTGCTTTGGTAAACCAAGCAAGGAACACAAGTTCTAGTAGACTTCATAAAATACACAAAACGTTTCTCTCTAATGGATACTTTAAGAAAAGTCGATATCATCAGGTAGTCAAGCCTGTCCGCTATCGCGACTCAGGACATTTCAGGACTTACACTAAATGATTCTCGCTCTAGGATGCCAAGCCTGAAATAAATCATCCGATGCTGCTTTGAAAATTATATACAACTTAGTTTTACTACACATTGTAATCAGGAAATTGTCTCCGACGTCTAACAAACCGCGGGTATGGGATCGAGCTCTTGTGTTCTTCCGTTCTGCTCGAGTCAACTGTCGCCTTCCTGGGCGTCGCGAAAACATGCGGTGGGGTACAACAAAGACAGCCATTGTCTTATATAACGCAAGGTGTGATTGTACAACGAGACCCAATTAGCCGAATGGCACCATTCATTATAAAAGCTCTTCAGGCTGAACAGATCTGGACATTAATTAGGCGCATGGCTACGGGAAGCTAGCTAGGGGTCGTTTCTAAGCTTTAAAATAACCTGCTTGCAGGCTCTTACGTAAACCTAACCGAGTTCTAGCTCCGATCCTTCGGCATACTTTAGAACAAGAACAATAACAGCAGATACGACAGTTCAATGGTATAATGACTACAGATTTGAACTTTAGCTTTAGTACAGCACACGAAAGTTGGAACGCAGCGAAACTAGCAAAAACTTAGGCTTCAATGAATGACCATCGTTCTTTTTGCGGTTTGTGGTAGAGGTCTCTGCTCCATCGGCTCTATACTGCTGTCGTTATTTAACTCTTTGGATAGGGCAGCGGTAATTGTCCTCTCGTTGAAAAAGATCATCCGTTTGCCAGGTAACCCTTGCAACATCATCGTTTACTACCCCACAACGGTACGGCGTGGCCGCGTGTTGGGTGTTGCTCGAATTTTGGTGCTAGCGGTGCTTTGAACCTGACCGGGATGGAACAAATACCGCCAATTTCATTGTTAATGAATGGATAAGCTTCGGCTAATGAGGCACGGGCGCAGAGAAAAGACGATGGGGTCGTCTGAGGGGGTTACAGCGTTTAGTTGAACCCTTTCAGCAGTAAACCTTTTAACGAAATTTGTTTCGACGGTTTATATAAGATCGATAAGCAGTCGTATTTACGACGTATATAAGAACCGCCGCGTTTGTGCAGGGATTATTTGGTCACCAGTTTCAGAGGGCTTTTCTATCTGATTGTGAAATTCCGTACTCTTCGCATAATATGCTTTGTAAATCCAAAGTCATTCTATTCGTATCTATGGGACCGCCTGATCACAGCGCTAGTGCAGCTTGACAATGCTTAACACAAATACCCGTACAGGCAAGACCAATCGCGTAGGTTTCATCTGCGTACGGTTATTTGGTCAACGGGGGAATTCTCCCTATACCATATATAGGAAAGGATCTAACCACGAGCGATAGCCGAGCCAGACTGGCAATTATTAAATATAATTATTTATACGGAGGACAAGATATTCGAATTTAAAAATCAGGCTTATGTATACTTTGTGATTTAAGCTAATTCTAAAGATAATAAGCTGTCGAATAGGTTTCTGGGTAACATGTTACAGACATATCATTTCAGCACCACCTACCTCAAGAATAGAATTCCGAGCGGACTGATCATTGTTAAACGATGTTTTTCACCGGTCTGAACCACTCCTGCTGCCAAGGTAACGTATCCGAAATGCCAATTTCAGATCCGTTTGACAGGATACTATGTCTTTGTTTACACCTCGGTCACTATTTAACTTTTAATACATCATCTACTATATTATCTACTATTATTATTATCAAAGCAGATCCATGGGTGTTTCAAATGAAAAACAAGCTAAGCAAAACACGCTTTACCTTAGAACGGTGCGATACCACAACAAAACTACAGGGGGCAGCGCGACGATAATCGAGAAATATAAAAACATAGCGTAATAAACTGAGATCGTACCATGTTTTGCCCTTAGTAAGTGGACGATTTCACTTGACGTTACAAATGCTAGTATGACGATTGGAACTTTTTGGGACAATTATGTAATGAGGC